TTCCACACAAACCTTATGAAACACCTGTTGTCATGTTAAACAAGGACTTTTTCCTTTGACTGTTTACTGATTACATCTTGAGTGCCTTTGATCTTGCCTAACTGCTGGAACAATGGCACAAGCCGTGACAAACAAAACACATTAGCACTATCAAAGATGTCTAATCACATTTGATAGAGGCGCTTTTTGTCCTGTGAGTGCATCATTTGATTTGCGCAGTGGCAACAGACGGATGCTTGATATTAAATGAATAATTTACAACAGATCATGTTTTGAGCTAGCATTCTTCAAGGGTGTGTCATTGAACAATACAAACATTTTAGTATTTTTGAAGGAGTCATTATTGAAACTTTACAGAAGTTTCAGAAGTAGTTAACTGAAGACTTCAATCTCAAGATTTTTCTACTGTCATCCTGGAGTGTTTCTCAGTCCTGAAGGTCAAGGGAGGAGTTTCTACCTGAAATGAACTTCTGTCTGTGTGATCACCAGTTTAAACCAGACTCCTGACAAATACAGTAGGGCTCCCGATACTCAGGTGTGCTTTGTCAACCTCATTTTCCTAGAAGAAATATTTATTGCATTTGGTCTGTTGTGCTGTGCAACTGTCTGGTGATGCATTCAAGCTCTGTGATTACTACTGTAAAGCAGTTTGTGTAAACACTTAAAACGTCATAGATTAAGTTAACTGTTTATCATGAAGTAAAGTTTTTATCTCAGTTTGTTAATGTTTCATTAGTTAGCCTTATCTCTATATAGTTTATAATTATTTGATCTTATGTGCTCAGAATAATTTAGATAAAAATACTCCTTTACACCACACATATAAAACCAATCACCATTAATTTGGAAAACCAAGAAGTAAAGAAAAAGCATCTATTTCCATGGTGATCGCAGTAAGGGTCAAATGAATAAATACACAAGAGTTAACTGAGTTTTCAGTGACATATTAATAAAGACTTTTGGCCCTCAAACTGACAGGTGTTTACTCCTGTCCTGTCTCCACTGCTGTAAGTTGCTGCAGATAAGGTCTGATTAAGCCGTCCCCATCATGTCTCTGAGGAACTAACACAGCCTAAGGATGTGAGCTACTGAGATCTGCAGGGACAACTGCTCCCTGAGGGGGCGCTGCAGGCTGAGGACAGAGCAGTCTCTGAATGTAGATGAAGCTTGTAGAAATCTTTGTTGTTGAATTTATGAACCTTTAAATCTTTGGCTCTGTAGTAACTAGGCAACTTTAATGATTTATATGCTTAAACATGTAAACTTCTTGCTATTTTTTTTTTATCCAGACATATGCAATTCACTATTAACCATGCAAGACCAATGATACTGTCCTCAAATAGTTCAAAAGACATGGATAATACACAAAACAGAACCTTTAAAGAGTCCTTCTAAGTTTTACAGACGATCTTTTGATGAGCACCGCTTCTTCACATCCTCCTTTTTTCCTCACTCTAACATGAAGCGCTCCAAACACTTCACAGCAGGGTTCTTTTTTATTTAGCAGATTTGGAAATTGGGATGCTATCTCTGGGAGTGCCAAAAGTTTAATTCAGCTCTCAGTTATTCTGTTTCTTCTGTCCTATTGATTGTCAACATTGCACATCAAGGCTTCAAGGCCAGGAGCATAATTATAAATATTGTATAGAGAGATAGAGATATCACTGGGCACTTTTGGATTGCTTCTTGTCTCAGTTGAAATTTAATTGCTGAGATTATTTTAATGTTCAAGGTGCACTAACTTTTGTAAGTTAATTTGTTTGTTTCGCTTCTTGATTATATCCACAATATAGCATTAACCTTATGTAAGTATGTAAATGAGCAGGTGATGCCACCAGATCAAGTTATAGGTCAGATCTGTGGAGAGATGAGAAAAGAATACATGTGTAATAAATGCCACTAGATAACTGCAATGTCACACCTGGAAACATTCCAGACTAAGCAGTATCATAGAGTTAAGCATTTTGAAAAGTTTCACATTCAGGGAAATTTGAAGGGATATAAGACATATTTTATTTTGCTGTTGTATAAAAACCCATGACAGTTCTGTTATTTATTTCATCCCTTTAACAGACAGGTGTAGCAAACATTCATTTAAGGTTAGGTACACAGGTCATCACCATTTGAATTCAAATCTGTCAGCAAGCAACTTAATGCAAATCAAACACATGAATTAATAATTTCATGTTTAGATGAGTTAGTCAGCACAAACATTTGCACTGTGATTATGACACACAGAAACGGTTCGGTAAACACTTGTGCTGTCACAGCGGAGATAATGGACAACAAGACTAAGTATTAAAATGATGATGATGAACAGGAGGTGGCAGTGGCGGTCGATGTCTTCAGATCAGTCAGCTGAATCAACATTATTGCCAAGTATTCAGGTTTTTCATCTGTTTATGTGTGATTAGCAGTTGCAACTCAATTGTCACCAGGAACTTAATGTGTTTTTTTGTAAGGATGACATATAATATGAGAGGTTTGCTGACCGTGTCTTATAATACAGTAGTCTTAAAGACACATTTTCCATAATATGAGGAAATACTATCTCATATTTTCCCACAATCTTTTGAATGAATCCTCTTTATGTGTCACATGATATTTTATGGTAGTTCACAAAGATTTTACTATATCTGAGATTTTGTGATCCTATTCCAAGGAAATCTGGATTGTCTATTTTTAATCAACTTGACAATGGCTTGTTTCAATCTGGTTTCATAGTGTCAGTTCTCTGGTGCATTTGGACCTGCACTGAGGTGATAAGAGACGGCAAAATGCTGTGGTGATATTGTCTGTAAGGATGGGATATCTGAGGACACATTCAAAGCAGCAGATAGCATTTGAGAGCGGATTTCTGTGGAGAAGTCAACCAAGGGACAGCACAAACAGTGGTTAGACCCATGTCGCCTTGGAGACGAGGTCATAGCTGATAATTGGGCATGGCCCTGGATGGCTTTAGTAATGAGATTAATGATGTTGTATAGGTGTTGTTTCAGTGAGGAGAGGATTACACACGGACAGCCCTCCTAAGGTGAAGGAGAGGACAATTACTCTGCTGCGAATGGTGTTCCACAACTCATTCCCAACAGTGGAAGAAAGAAGCAATTTACTCAAAATCTTAGCTACGGACATTAAGGCCGTCAAAGCCAATTGATATCAACCTGAGTGAATGGTGCACAAAACGGAGTGCGCAGCCATCAGCCATCGCAAGGTGAATTTAAATATGTGTTTTGGCTTGATAATGAGGATGTGTGTGTTTTGGGGCCAGTACTAGTCCAGATGTTCTCTATATTTAAAATGCACATATAAATTTTCTGAGGGCCCCTCACCGCACAGCTCTGGGTAAACAAGTACCCTATATCTTTCTAGTCCTTTTATTTTTTATTTTATTGTATAGATTTATGTAGATTTAGATCTGTTATAAAGGTAACATGATACGCAATCAGAAGGGGTGGTCAGAAGGGAACTTAATTAACTATATGTGCTGCTATGTACCAGCCATAGACCGTATATATACATAGACATAGCTAATGCACTAGCCATCGTGTTCCAAATAGGAAGTTTGCATGCGGACTCTTACAGCTCCTACTGACCCTGGCTCCTATTGACTTACATTGGAATATTGTCACCCCTCTCTCTGTAACTGCTGCTGTGAGCCTCGTCATTCTAGTCTTAAAATGTTATTAACACGCTCTACATGATCCTGGTGAGGTTTTTTTTTTTTCTTTTTTTTTGCTATTTTGTCCTTCAAAAAAATCCTATTCATAATATAAAGCCTGGCTTCAGATTTGCCCCTATAAAAGCTTCATTTGAGCAGCACTGAATGCTATGGGTGATGTCACCCTCAGTTAGTCAAATTTTTCTATGTCTATGGTAACAGTATATGTTTTATTCCTTTGTCCTTTTTGTAAAAGGTAAAGTACATTAGTCCTGTGCTCACTGATCATGGATACAAGAGGTCAAAGTGAGCTTCCTCTGCGTAGCCTCCTTCTGATGTTGCTCCTTCACATCAAAAGAAGCTAGGTTATGTGGCTCAGGCATCTGTTTCAGAAGCCTCCTTGACTGGGGAGGTGATCTGGGCACATCCCACCAGGCGGAGGCCCTGGAGAAGACCCAGGACACGGTGAAGGGACTTGGTCTCTCGGCTTGTCTGGGAACACCTTGGAATCCACCTGAAAGAGCTGGAAGAAGGCTGTATGGAAAGGGAAGTCTGAACATACCTGCTCAGACTGCTGCCCCAGATAAAGAAATAAAATGAGTGGATGGATGGCTAGTCCTCTGCTCAACGAACATATTTTCTAACTGTACACAGAAAAAATGAATTATTCAAACCTGGAATCTTTCATTGTATAAAGCAAAAGTGTTGTATCCCATGTCTCCAAAATGCTGGAAGCATTTTTGAGGTGTTGTTTTTAAGTCTATTTCAGATGAGCATTAGACAACAGTTACTGTGATCCTGAGATGGCAGCAGCAATGCAGAATGAGTCAATAGCCAATTAGGTTTTTCCTAATGGTTATTTCTGTGTAAACAAATGGCCAAGAATATTCAACTGGCTAAAAGAACAATGATGTTTCTGAATACACAATTGCTGTGCTCAGATGGATGAAGTTTCCAAATCCTCCTTCTGATAGAGCATGGTTGCACCCAGTAGTACAGTCATGCGTTGAGTTGTTCATGGACAGAAATGGTTAGTGGCACTTTAAATGAACATAAAACAGTGAAGTATTTTGTTAACAGTCAGCGGTTACAGCTCCCTGGAGGAATGGACCTTGCATATATTAACAACACTGCCAGAAGAAGAGAGCTCTGGGATTTGTCCTCTCTATTGTTTTATAAATAGGCACCAAATCACAGTTGCAGTCACACACAGACAAACATTCCTTTATTGTGTATTAATGGACAGTTTGCACATGTATGATTTATCATTAGCAACATGGACAGTTCATCAACTGTAAGAAAAGCTCTCAGAGTTGCATCTGAAAAACAAATGGGCATAAATAAATAAAATGTGAATTCTTTTCCTCTTCTTCTGCAGTGACTGAACTTGCAGTGTACATTATAAATCATCTAGCAAAAACACACCCTAATTTTATAAAAATGACCTTTTTTGTTAAAGTCCAGTGTCTTTAAAAGCATCTTGAAGAACCCATTGTGAATTGTCTTTTATACATTGTCCAGAAGAAAAAGGTTCTTCTCAGATGCTGTCATTCATTCAGACAACCGAGTGCAGTGCGCAGAAGACATTCTCTGGATGATACAAAAAGGATCCAGGGCTCTGTCCACACTAATACATGCCTTCAAATCAGAGAGAAAAAAAAACAAAACATGGGGGAAAGATCAGATATTATGGAGGTGGTCCATTGCCCTGAACAAAAATAGTCATTTTATGCATTGGTGTGGACATAGCTGTATGTAGATAGTGTTAGATAAACATTCACTCTAAAATGTCTTTCAACACAGAGCCCATCAGTGAATTCACATGAGTTTGTAAAGAACAGCTGATTGTGCAGTTTGTGTAGGTTATTGGCACCATATACTATAGAAATGTGCACACTCTGTACTGTTTACTGAATCATTGCACACTTTTCTGGAGTGCTGTTGCATCGGTGGAGCTCCTCTTGAAGTAGTGAATATTATATAACAGGCATCAAAAATAGTCATGGACAAATGACAGGTCAAAGCTCTGCATTAGCTACAATATTTAAAAAACATTTGGCAATAATATACCCTGTTTAGACACAGTGCATATCACATATACTTTATGAAAAAGAAATAATGTAAATACTTTTAAAATATTATTTATCATTGTTTGGAGAAAAAATAAATTTTAGGGTTTTGTCATGATTCTATATAAGTGTTTTCACTTGTGCTTTTGAATCGAGTTATTTAGCTGCTATTTCCACTAGTGGCTTAGTGTTTGGGTAAAGTAACAAATAAAAACAAATAATTGCACAGATCGGTCAGGAAGAACATGATATTGAATTGCACAACAAACCTGATCATACAGAAAAGTAGGTGCCATCTTCAGGACTATAAAGCTTTTTCAAAGGACAAACAGCAAAAATAGTTAACAAAGTTACTCAAATGTAGCTGCACTGATTTTCCAGATATTACACTAAAATCTGTTTGGAGATGATAGTCTGTGTATGTTTTTAAAGATATGTAGATTGAAAGATATTCTAGTTCCTATTTGTTGCAGTCCCCTTTCAAAAACCCACTTTAAAAATTACATTTTGTGCATTATGCCTTTGACGTTACCAAACATTATCTTCTATTATATATTTTTCCTCAAACAAGCACCCCGCCTTATCATATAATGCCTAAATACATATTAAAGTACAATTTCAACAGTTTTAGCTCGAGTAGTAAATGCAAACCAAAAACACTCGAGACATACTTCTCATAGCTCTGTAGACAGATAGGAGCTTACTATAGAATAAAGTGCACCATTCATTGAGTCCGTGTAGCAATTGTGCATTCTTCAGTTTTACACTGGGTAGAGGGCTCCGGGGCTCTGCTGGGGTCATCCATCACATGTGGACACTGCAGAGGTGTGCCTGTTGTTGGTATTAATAGCCTGGGGTGAACAAGGTCTTCTCCACTATGAAGACTATCTGGCAACTTGGGTGAGCCCTATCTCACTTTTCCCGTTCACCTTTTACAACATCATTCACCAACTTGAATAAACGATCCCATGTTCACGCCACTACACCCTGTACCTGTATGTACTGCTTTTAGTAATTCATGAACGCATTCATAATGTATTCTCTTGCAGACAATAAACAAAACAGTTTTGTGGTTTTTAAGGCAGTCTCTCCTGTTTCAAAAAAAGACATGATGCACCAAAAAGGAAATAATGAATGGTTGTCCATAAGAAGTCTTCTTGCTCTGTCAATGACATAGTTGAACTCTTAAGGTAAAAGTCTGGTCCAATTCTTTTCCATTGGTTGGAGCCTCTGTATTGAGTATTGGCAGTCCCCCAGGTGTGGGTCTGGGTTTTCTCTGCAGTTATACATGCACAGAGGGGACACTCTTGTTGAGCACCTGTGCTCTCATCAGCTGCACGCTGCTCATGATCTTCTTCTGATGTCCCATCAGCGTCACCCCCAGCCTCTGGATGTCCCTGCAGCACACACAGACAAACACACACACGCACACACACGCGCACACACACACACACACACACACACCCATACACACACATACACATACACACACATACAACACAGACATGTTTGATTCAACAAATGGGGGCTGTAATGGTAAAGTGACACTTCATTTACAGGCCACTTACATGGTGCATATATTGTAAATGTGTGTGTAACAATAAATATACTATACAATAAATTCCTTAAAAAGCCCCATTTCATTATGAGTCAGTTCAATAGCTAAATTCTGTGAATAACATGTTTCCTTATTGTGAGAAGACCTGATGCTTTTTTTTTTGGTTAAAGTTCTAGTATGAAACAATGGTGGTAAAATGGATTTTAAAAATGCACCAGATGAAACTGAAAACTGTTCACTGCTAATTTTTGCTAAATCAAAAACAGGTTTTGTACTTTTTAAGAGACTTGATATTAATCAGTTATTTGGCTGAACATGCACAACCAATGTATACGGTATATGTATACCACATGTATGTATGTATGTATCTACATACAATAGTATTTTAAATCAGACTTTAGTCAGTACCATACCTTACAATACAATAAGCTAATGCTGCAGTGATTTTGAAATGTGCAATTAAACTGATTCTAAAACAGGAAAACTGACAATAACTTTTATAGACTCCCTAATCGCCAGCAAATACTTACCCTTGGTTCATGCTTACGACATGTCCTAAAGTGTGGTACCCTCCTGCTGCAAAGTGCTCTTTGTAGCGACCCATCTTTATGGTATCCAACCAATCATCTACTGAGTTACAGCTACTGAAGTCAGGGGCAGCCCTCTCCATCAGAGGAGGGCTGTTTAGACTCCGGCTGAGAGACAGATGACCAGACATGGAAGTAGAGGGTGGAAGATGGATAGAAAGACAAACACTTTAGTCAGAAAACCAGGGAGAAGTCAGTAAGCAAGCAGAGAGCAGCAAGACCAGGGAGGAAAGGGGGGGCTTGAATTGTGCTAGTAACACAGGCAGAAAATCAATAGCGGTTAAAATGATAGAGAAGAGATGGTGGCTGCGGGATGGCTGCTTTAGCTAGATTAATGCTGTGAGAAATCCTTAAAAGCCCTTCTGCCCAGCGTTGCCTGCACCCAAAGGTGTTCCTTTGGCAGCACCTCGCCATGCTCCACTGCCTCACAACCCTGAGATCTCAAAAGAACAATGTAGCCCGCTGTCCCTTACAACCCACCTGTAGATCTAGCATTGATCAAAGTCAATATCACAGACACTAGCACAGATGATTGGAAAACGATGGCTCACTCCAACTTTGAGAGAAACTTACTTAACTTTATCAAGTTACACCAGTTATTGTACAACAAGCATTGTACAATGCGATGTCCAGGAATGTTCTTTCCAGCCTTTTCACAGCGAGTGGCTATCTTTGATTTGCTTACATAATCCGTTAATCATATAAACCAATATTTGTTTAAATGTTTGCAAACAGTGGGTGCAAATTAAATTAAAAGTCTCCTCAGTTCGGGGAAATGGAGAAACAAAGCGCCCACGTTGCTTTGTCTAGAAAATGTGAGTATTGGGCACACACCCACCTGCAGAGAGTGTCCATGGACTTGAGGTTCTCTGGGTTGCGGATTAGCTTGTCGAGAACAGTGACTATCTGGCAGAAGCGCGGTCTCTCGTTGCGATCCTTCTGCCAGCAGTCGAGCATGAGCGTGTGCAGAGCAGCGGGGCAGCCCATGGGAGCAGGCAGCCTGTAGCCCTCCTCCACAGATTTGATCACCTACAAGGCCAAATTGTACCAGAAAATTAGAACTACTTGGGAGGATGTTTGAATATAGATTGGTGTTTGCACTTACATCTCTGTTGGTGAGATTCCAATACGGTCGCTCTCCATAAGACATCACCTCCCACATGACCACGCCATAGCTCCACACGTCACTAGAAGAGGAGAACTTTCTGTATGTTATGGCCTCTGGAGCAGTCCAGCGGATTGGAATTTTTCCTCCCTGAAGGATAAAAATGTTTTAGAACATAAACTATGTATGCAAAAACACAGTGATAATCAATGCAAGACAACACAATACAAATAATCAATAGTTAACACACAAGGACTTTAGCCATAAACATGAAAACACAAAAACAGCCCTGATTCATAATCCCATTGAAACTTAACCCTCCCAAAATTGTAAAACCCATACATTCCTTTGCCAGAAACCAGAGGAACGCACTGAACAAAAATTATGAACATACTTTTATTACTTGACTCACAAAGAAGTGTAATTATTATCCTAAAGAAATAACTTCCTATCACTACATATCACAATCTTAATGCAGGCTTTGAACCTGCTCATGTAATAATCTTTCTTCTATAATTTGACAGTTGAGCTCAGCGTCAGAGGAACAGACAGATGCGTCATACACTGATTTCCACAGAGTGCGTGAAGCTGATAGCATCGCACAATGAAAGGAGCTGTTTTGTGCGCTGACTTCTCCCTCCATCCCAATAGACTGCAGTTTTAATATAGGCCTATATTTACCCACACCTTCCATCGCGCTCCTATACGACTCTGATTGGATTTGTATTGCTTCGCTGTAGCTGCATTTAACTTTTATATCTGACTCACAGCTGCTGATGTTCAGGAGTGAATAAAGCAAACAAAACAATCATTTTCTTGGGATTGCATTTTGTTCTGCAAATGTTACATTTGATACTATAGGTTTTTTTTTTTTTTACTGTTAACAGCCCTTAGAATGCTTGTAATGCCTCTTTTTCTATATGTTGTCGTATCTGCAGCTTTCAATACTACAACTATACAAATATGAATTAACCTTATTCCACACTGCTTACTTTCATTTCTTACTGACTTTCACTGCTACTGATCTACACTTCTGTTGTGATCAGCATTTCTGATTAAGCAGGGATTCCAATCATTTTAATGGAGAATTAGAAACAAGTCTCTCATGTACACCGTTTTCAGTTATGTAGAGAAATGAGTTGCTGTTAAACTCAAGGGTGTACAATCATACAACTGAAAAAGGGTATAAAACAATGGCTTCATACAGATTCAAGTATACAAAACATTTACACATATTTCCCTTGAATAGTACAGGTTGAGCTGAGGTGATACGATTTGTGAAATGCTATCAGTAAGTAATTGTTATTGCTGAAACAAATTAAGGAAGACCTTGAGTAGACTCATCTATACAAATTATAATATATAGTATAATCAAAATATAATCAAAACTGAATCTGAATTTTACTTTAACAATGCTATCATACACATACATTTGCAAAAGTTTAGAATTGATTATAGTAGTACAGTTACTTTGACAACGCCTACTAATCCAGGTAAACCCAGCTCTCTTGTACCCTTCAGTGGAAATAAGCATTTATGTGTGTGTGTGTGTGTGTGTGTGTGAATTTTGCTTGCCTCGACATGGAAACTCACACTGGTGGTATAGGCCGCGTCAGGGTCGTCCTCCAGCACTCGGGAAAGGCCGAAGTCGGACACTTTACACACCAGGTTACTGTTGACCAGGATGTTTCGTGCCGCCAAGTCTCTGTGGATGTAGCCCAGGTCTGAGAGGTAGGTCATGCCCGCTGCGATGCCCCGCAAAAGCCCCACCAACTGGATCACAGTGAACTGTCCATCATGCCGCTGATGGAAAAGAGAATATGCTTCAGAAGATTTGTAGAGGACAGAATAGACAATATGTGATAAGAAAGGAGATTTTTAATGTAGATAAGGAGCAGTGGAAAGATAAGGTAATAATTACAGCATAGTACGCAAATGGACCATTTATTAAAATGTTAAAGGTTGTATAGACAAAAAAGCAAAAGGTTAGATGCACTCTTGCAGTTTTTTGTTGTTTTTTTTAAGTTTGCTTTATGTATGCCAATGCATTTTAGCTCACATAGGAGCAAAGGCCCATATTACTTATCTGTGATCCAGGTGAGCACTCCCAGTATCTTATTCTTAAACATTGTATATTTTGAAGCTTATTACTACTCCAAATCATTTGTGAGGACTAAATGAATAGAATTTTTTTGTACCACTTATAATAGCAGAACTTTAATTAGCCTTAATAAAGTATAAATAAAGACTTTCATAATGAACAAATTAATTAGTAACAACTTAATAAGATAGGGTATATGGATCTAAATGGTACTATTATTATATTCATTTCTATAACCACACTGTACAGATACTCTGGTGGAGTGGCGTGGGTAATGCAGTGAAGTATTTTACCCTGAGGAAAGAGTCAAGCGAGCCGTTCTCCATGTACTCTGTGATGATCATTACGGGTTTACCTTCAAACACAAGAAATGTTGATACAATCACAGTTCATACTATACAAAGTACACTGTTGGCCTGAGAGCACAGCTGGGTTATTGTATTTCAGAATAATACACTGTATTGCATCAGGATTGCAATTGAACAAAAATGTTCTTCTCGCAGGTCTGTTTTTGTCATGGAAGTTGATGTGGATGCAGATAACTTTATTAACCCTGCAGTAACTCACTTAGATTCATGCCATTCCAAAACAAACTATATATATCTACACAGTGTCTACCGAGTTTAAATGCATACATACACTCCCAAGAGAAACTCACGGGAGTATGGTGGATATGTAGGGTCCACAGAGGCACAATACAACTGACCAAACTGCTAACCACCTACTGCAATATACATCTACTGTTACATGGCTTTCAGATAAGAAAATATAAATCAATACGCATAAGCCCTATCATTGTATTTATATCATTATTTTTTAATCAAATAATTCTGAATTATTTGAAGTTGTGCTCACTCTGTGTGACCACCCCTTCCAAGCGGATGACGTTGGGGTGGTCAAACTGTGCCATGATCGAAGCTTCAGCCAGGAAGTCCCTCTTCTGTTTCTCGGTGTAGCCCGCTTTTAGTGTCTTCAGGGCCACGGGAATGTCTCGTTTCCCCGGTAACCTCATGCGGCCATAGCACACTTCTCCAAACTCCCCTGAATGCACCAAACAAATAATTTTACAGTATAAAGAAAATAAAACCAATTCTCTTGTGTAGTGTAACATGCTTTGCGCCCACGCACAATCTATCCAAGACTATAAATGAGAATGTGAAGTTAATTTGTGAGGTTAGATAAGAGAAACAAATCCATTTATCGGCCCCAGTCCACATCTGTGTGCAAACTAGGCTCATCATCGATCATCCCTGTACTCATTAATTCTTATCTTTGGCTTGCGAGATCTCTAAGAATTACTGCTGGTTTTTGTTTTGATCATTTCTGGTTCGTACATGGCAGATAGACAGTAGAAGGTGGTGTAGAGTTGGATTCACTTACTTCAGATTAAGATGTCTTGTTTGAGAATCATTGCAGACATTACAAACTTTACCTACATTTAGGAACTGTAACTTTGCTCATAACAAGGGTATTAAATCTACACAAAAATATTTACTTTACAAAATAAAATGTTCCCACTGATCAGTTTTCTACCATGACTGTATCGTTTTAGTCTACTACTTTTACTTGTGTTTAGTTTAGCTGTTTTAGTTGTGTAGTAGCAGCACTCCACACAATGCCCCGGTTCATGTGGGTGCCACCAAATTAGTATTCTTTGTGTGACTCAGGAGCAGTGACAGACAGATTCCTCTCTGTAATGTGCACTACCATCTTTACACTGACCAATCATCCAACGTTAGCTCACCCAATAACTGTGTGTGTGGCTGTGAAAGTACAACGCTGTTATGGTTTTACCTGAGCCAATGATTTTTTCAATTTTGATCCGGGAGGCTTCAATTTCTCGGGCAAACTCATGCACCGCCTGGCAGGGGTCCTCGTAGGTGTGTGGGTCGATATAGAACCTTGCATCGGGGAATGACACTAAGATAAACAACATTAGCATTTGGTCACATAGCAGAGAATGAGAGAGCCTCACATCTGAGCCCTGTCAGTGCTGTGCGCATGGAGGCCATGATGAGAAGGACAGAGTAAACAGCACACAAACAGTGACCCTGCATTCAGCTCCTCCTCTCCATACCCAGAGCTAGACATATCGTATCCCAAAACATGGTTCATTATGGTAGTTTCTGAAATATAGTTTTTAGAACATTTTTGGAATATATTTTGTGGGAGAGCACTAAAATACTATGACAAAGTTTTCAAGGTCCGGCAACATACAAGGACTTTTTGTTTAATTTCTGCAAAATGGACCTTCAATACAGAACGATTTGACCTATGGTAAAATATACAAACTACATTTTTTATAATTTATATTCAAATTTAGAATTGACTCTTAAAAGTCTGGTATAGACACTTTGCTTTGCTGACAGAGCTGCATAACCATGGCCAAGTTTTGAGTTATTTTGAGTTTATTTTTTGTTTGCTACAATCCATATTCATAATTTTTGTGCTTTCAGTAAGTGTCCAAATGTACTTAGACTGGTAGTGTAAATGTGGGGAAATCAAACTGATGTTGCAGATTAAGATGCCATGAATAGTATTTAAGCAGAATTTTCAAGGCCTTATTGTCTTTACAGTTTTCATTTCTAAAAATAATGAGACAGATAGGAACGGAGAGAGAAAGTGTTTAAACTGCCATATCATTGTACAACTGGTATGCAGTGGTAGCACTTCATGCCGCAATTGAATGACAAAAAAACAAAACAAAAAAACACATGAAGGAAGTTTTACACCACTCTTTATGTTTTTCTTATAGTCAAAATTATTATTTTAACAAAAATTATTCTACTTTTATTTTATATGACCAATTGATTTTTAGACCAGGCAGTCATTGCAGCTCCAATGGCCCATGAATGCACCAGCGAGCCTGTGTGCTGTAATAATAACTGATGAAAATGGTTTGCTCAGAGGATGAACTGTATTACATGGGGATAAAAAGAAATGTGATCTCATCTATTACGGTCATAACAGAGGACTGAGCTAAACATACCGTGACCGTTCTGGTAATGCATCTTCTCCTCATCCGAGTCCTGGAACGCTTTGCTGTAGCCACAATGTCTGTACAAATACACACATAAACACGCACAACAAGCACACGCACACACCCATATATGGATGTAGACATATCCATATAAGGACACAGACAGACAGACAGCGGAATGAATACAGGACAACACAGAGGACATTTTTACTACCAAACTCTTTTGCACACATAATCAGGGTTAATGCATTCATCAATGTTTTTTATCATAAGAAAAATTAATCAGGCTGTGGCTATTCATCACACGATAGCAGTTAGTTATTAGAAGGAACAACTGGTCGCTGTGGTAATGAGGCTTTTAAGGTAATGCGAGTCCCATCTGTAATAATTGAGGAAAGATCAGGCAGATACATGCAGGTAAAATATATTATGCATTCAAAGCATTCAAAGTAAAATGCAAAAAAATTGAGAGTAAATTCCCACTGGAGAAATAAGTCTGTGTTCCAAGACATTTGAGAGCACCTATGGTCATTAGTACATTGGAATAAGAATGTTTCGGGGCATTACATTGTCTGAAATCTGCTTTGTAAATGAATAATAATTGCTGCCATTAAAATCATGTTTGTTAAAATTAAATGATTAGAAACAACAGTCTTCCTCAATATAGAACAATTAATTTTTATTGTAGAAAGAATAGAAAAGATTTTGACTTTTCTTTGTAATTTCTCTTCTAATCCAATATAACTCTTATATTTTTACACTACTAATACTACAATTTATATTTTAGATAAACCTACACCAAACTTTTATTTTAAGTTGTGTTAGTTCCATAGACTGTGTTAACTTTTAATCTATGTAGCACACAGCTTTGTAGTCATGACGGGACACACTGACTTGTGTGATAACATCTTCCATTCTTTACTTAATTTTCTCCTCTAACATAATGCTAATGAAATACCGAGTATGCATTGAAGTTGGGATTAATTCTATGCACAGAATTAACTCATCTTTGGAATTTGTCTATGTATAAGTGTGAAGATCAAAAGAAATGGAGGGCTGATGAGACAGAGCCTATAAGGGGCATTTGGCTCAGGACATGAATCAACATCATTAAAACAGTTATAGCAAATGAGCCACATGCAGAGCGGACTCCGAGGAACAGTGCTCAGAGCTTGTTCTCATCCAGGCGCGTACATGTTATTATGGTGAAACTAATAATGCAGTCATATATTGCTCTAGCTTCTTAGAATAGGCATGATAACTTCCAAATGTTACATATTAAAAAGAAAGGTTTGTGCAATTTTTTTTCAAGAAAAATACTAATTGTCTTGGGAAACAAACTAGTTTCTACATTGAGAATGTGATATTATTAACAGCAAGTATAAGTTTACATTGTTTCTAATATAGCCTTAGCCTGGATTAGTAAAATAGCTCTATCACAAAGACATTACACAGGTTAAGGTAAAGTAGCTTAAGAAAGTGTTCCACACACAGCAGCGATGGGTAGTGTGGTAAAGTGTAGCCTTGCCGTTTCCTGCAGATGATGATGGCCATGAAGGCTACCAGGCCAGACACCAGGCCCATGCAGATCCAGAGGATGGTCATGGTGTTGTAGCGCAGGGGGACTGGGGGCACAACATAAATACATAATGTTAGATATTGCACATGTGTCACTTGAAGTTGAAATTTTGTTTTAGCACACATTCCTGCACTTATCTTTATTTTTTCCATACATAATTTTAAATCCCACATAAGATGGGGAAAAGTGTTTTAAAATAGCAGTAATAAAAGTCCTTTAACTATCAACAATACAGAGTAAGAGATAGGTTGAATAGTATGAGTGTGCTCCAAGTATAAAGATCAAATGTAATCCTCTAAACAATGACCTATAACTAGTTTGATGTTGAAAGTCAGATCTTAACAATATACTTGTAAAAAAAAATTTAAACGTGCAAGACCACAAACTAGGCCAGGCCAAAATCATCTGCTGAGGACACTTAAAACAAATGTCAACTAAATAATCAAATAATTGTGATAGTTTACATTTTTTACCAAATAAAACTATTGTAGTTTTCATAAATGTTTGTTGGCCCATTGGCAAATATCAGGACCTGTTAGGTACAATAATGATAACGAGCAAATCACTCAACTGTATTAATTACTACTATATATTACTGTGTTTGTTAAAGTCTGAAAAAAGTTTTAAAAAAAGAAACTAAACAAATGTTTGATCAGAAAAATAACTTTTGCTCTAAAGTTAAAATTTGCTCTATAAGCATATTTTAATGTAACTGGGTCAGTAGATTTGGGCTTAGCTACTGACAAGTTCATATTCTTAATGTTCCATGTTCTCCCTATTTTGCAGCAATTACCTGTACATTATAAAAAGCACCCTAAAAATAGAAACAGTTATCATTATTACAAAAACACAGTGTACCAGCTGGCTTTTGTTTTTCTTTTTCCAAACGGCTAATGGCACAATACGCAGGGAGCATACAAACCCCATCCTTACAGTCAAATAGCTAACATCTGCTGCACTTTGTCCCTGGAGTGAAAAACACTTAAGCTTTTGCTATGTATTTATGCAAAATTTGAATGTGGTATATAAAAAGGTGAAATATTGGACACACCTGGCTGACCATTTAGCACTGGCCCTGCACATAAACTATTACTCGAACCCCTGGAGCTAAAGGAGCCTCCCATAGAGGGCAGCAGAATAGAACGAAGATGCTCTTGCAAACTTAAGACATATTGATTAGTCAGCATGAGGACTGTGTTTTGGGAGTTGTGTACGGCGTTTGGTTTACTTGGATAATGAATTAGAATGAGGGGAGTGTGTGGGGGTGGGGTCCGGTGAGCCACAAACTACTATTAGTCAGGGAAACAGCAAAGGGAGAAGGCAGGCAGGGAGGAGAGCTCTGCAGACCTCCAGCTACTTATGTGCCAAAGCCCCTATTAAGCAAGAAAAATCTCCCAATAACAGTTTTCTTTATACTTGGTATGTTGTGTTTTCCTCAGGTGTATCGTAAACAGCAGTGTGCGAGGAGACCGGGTCGGGTTTTGCTGACAGGGGTGACCCTCTAACAACCGACGGATCAATGGATCAGAGGTGGTGTGCTGGCCTTCACAGACACAGGGCCTTTTTAGTGTGGAGCCATGCTGAGCTGTCTGGCAGGGTCTAATACAGTATCCTGTTGCTGTTTTTTAAACTGAAATAATATAAGTATATCTGCCGGAAATCCGGATGTGTAGATTTGTAAAGATGGTACATCACATGGTCGATTAAAGTCTTTTTAGATTTAGAGGTGTGCAGCTTACAGTGCACCTAGTGACTTTGAATAGAAGAGCATATACAATAAAAGTGTATTTGTAAATTCTTCAGAAGGAGTTCAAATTGTTTATGTCAATGTTAAGTATATGACTATTTAAAGTGCGTCTCACCTGCTTTCCCAGTCTGGATCTCCACGTTCTGACTGAAGCGCCCACACCCAGCAGAGGTGCGGGCTCTGACCTGGAAGATGTACTTAGTTCCCGGCTTGAGCCCTGACACCAGAGCACTGGTGTTTTTGGACTTGAGGGTAGAATAAGTCTGATCCTCATGATCCTGCACACAGCACAAAAGCAACAAGTAGCCTTTTACTTCATATCATATTTTAATGATGTATACAAACATTACTTTTCAGTGACATCCACGTGAACTTGGTTACTAACACGTAACATCACAACAGTTTAGAGCGGAATGATTGTCCTGTATGCTGCAACTTGTTCTAAATGAAGACCTTATCTTTTTCTGAGCTAATTACCACAGACATCTTTTGATCTGCTGCTATCAGCAGATAGACGGATAACAGCACCACTGAAGAGACCCGTTCATATCTTGTCACATTTGATAGAGAAATTGCACTGCTGTACAAGCCCAACGCTGCCAACTCAGCCCTTGTGAACTTGGTCTAGGTCAAGAAAGGTATAATACTCCCTACAATGGAAAAATAGCCACACTTGAATGGACTATACCACAATGTGAATCTCCGGGTTTCAGTTTATTCTATATTTCAGTAAACAGAGTGCTTAACTCTTCCTTCCTTGATATGAACATTACCATTTTCCTGGGACTGTGGTTGATATTTATATGTACAGCGATATTTATTGATGTGCACTATCCCTATGATAAACAAATGACGGTACAGTTGTTATACCAAATGCCCTACCAAACATAGATCTTTATGACATACTGAGGCGTATCTATGAGACAGTTAGTCACATTCTTTGATTTGAATTAAACTGAAAGCGTTGTTTTGCTTTGATATTGGATGAGGAAGGCTGTGACAGGCCAATTTGTCCTCATTATCACATTGGCTATAGTTAGCCGTGGCAGCACTGGTGCCCTGTCCATGGCTCAGTGTAATGTGTCTGAGAGGCAGCACAGCCTCATTGGAGCATATTGCTGAGTTGTCCACTTGAATCCCCTGTAGACGTCTGGCCCAGAGCGCGAGGCCAGATTAAAACAGCAGCACCAAAGAAGAGAGAGAGAGAGAGAGAGAGAGAGAGAGAGAGAGCAGCTAATCCTTCAGCAGGAGCAGCCTGCCTGTTACACTATGAGTCTGGGTGCTTCCATGGCCATGCCTGATGTCTAACACACACTTACCCCTTCTTTAGCACCAACACAAGGCACACACATTTCTACACAAACTCATATTAATACAGGAGTTACTTGAGACATGAGACACTTTTTGTTTTGCATAATATTATAAGACTTTTTCTCTATTATGTTGTTCTTGTCTTGTTCTTTCTTACAGAATGTGAAAAATGTATTGTATATAGTATCATAGATGCAAACCCTTTACCCTTACTCATAGAGCACACTCACATAGACTGACGCCAATTAGCCCGGCACTAAGCTAATGCTACCACCAGCCGCTCGCTGCCACTGTCACTTTCCCTGAGCTGGATTTGACTCAGGCTCATCCTCCTCCTCTTCGTCAGCTCCCGACCCCCATTTCCTTTCAATTAGCAGCAGCATCACAATCCTCCACTCAGATTAAGCTATCCAACCACAATCACCAACATGCACAAGGCAGTCCCAGTCTTCAAGTAGCTATTTACAATGCTTGATTCATGAGCAGAAAATACACAGGTTTACATGCACCCTATCTCCATTGTTTTTGTGGTTCTGGGCTGCTATAGAAACCAAAAAATATGAGTAGGGTGCCCATGATAAATTTTAGAAAAAGAGGGACACATGGTTAAATTCATAGATCAGTGGCTCTCAAACACAACAAATAACACCAAAGAAAAGATTTGGCTTTCTGAGTACCACCAGATCTAAACCAAATACAAGTAACATGATTATTCCAGGTCTAGAGCTTAACCACTTCTAAAAGTGAACTGCATCATTTCCACTGTAATTCTAAACATACAAAGGCAAACCCACAAACCAAGTACCACCTGAAGGTACACGTACCACAGTTGAGAAACGCGTTCATAAATAACAAATGAAATGCCACCAACAAATGATTTTCAGTTTTTATCCATTCCAATAGAACAGAAAGCGATAGAATTACAACACACCCAAGAGGCCTTGTTTTCTATCTCACTTTTTAGACAATTCATGGGGCATCAATGACAAAAGTGGGACAATCTCTACATAAGTGGAACGAGAGACTATGGCTGTGCGGGACAACAAAAAGAGGGACAGGTGGCCAGCCTAACAATGAGCCTGTGACTTTTCAAACAAAGGATAATTTTTGTTTGTTTTTGAAGCAGGTCACAGTGGTCTACTCTGGACAACAATGATACAATATATCAACCTACATTTGTTGTATGAATCTGTATTAGTTTGCATGTTTGAAAACGAGCAGTACCTTCTCGTAGTATTTGATGTCATACTCGAGGATGACTCCATTGGGCTGGTCGGGCTCGTGCCACATTAAAGTCACACTGTTCTGACTGGTATTCTCCTGACGCACCGCCATCACCTCAGACGGGGCTATGGGCAAACAGAGACAACATAAATACAAGGGGCAAATTAAATGTACCAATTTGCACAGTACATAAACAACTATTTTTTAAATGATTTTTAAACACAAAAAAGTACATGACTCTAACAAGTTAATAAACGGCATTCATTTTAAAAAAGCACAATGTACTATTAGAAGATGTATGTATCATTTTTCCTTTTACAGTTGTTTAAGTATAATGCTGTCGGTGTTGCTCTTCTTAAACAATTTTCTTATAAACAACTTATATTCTAGCACTGCACAGTAACAGCTCAAAAAAATAATTTCAGTATCCCATCCCACTCCTAAACCTGGCTATACCCAGTCATCCAGTCAGACAGTGTTGCTGACAGTGACTGTATAGTTGCTTATAGATACTATATGGAACATAAAGAATTTTTTTTTTTTATTATTATCAGCAAAATTGTAGTTGTGACAGCATTTTAAGGCTTCTATTTGACACTTTTCTGTTATTTGACAGCAGAGAAAGAGAGTGGAGACAAAGACATGTTCACATTTTAACCCATAAGCTCGTGAACGTTAGCCACAAGTATGCTCAAGGCAAAACCATCTTTTCAGACATTTTTTTTTTTAGAAAGTTTGTTACAGTTTGGGCCACACTGGGTATGAGTTACAGGGCCCAAGTTAAAGTGTAATTTTACTGTCTTGTGTGACCAGAAGGCACACTCTAAATTGATCATTTGACTAGATAGTCTAAGACAAGGTGCAGAGAAAGTGCTTGGAAGGGGTAGTGAATTTTCACTTAAATATATTTTTAATCCAGTCAATGAGAAAGAAAGAAAAAAATATTAAAAAGAACAGCTGTGAACACTAAGATGGGGCCAGATGGCAGTAGCTCAGTGGTTAAAATGTTCTTGCTATTCTTTCGCTGTCCTTGGCCAAAACAGTTCACCCACCTTGCCTATGTATGAATGTGCAGTGTTTGAGTGAGTGATTGATTATGGTTGAAGAGGCAGATTGGCCAGCACTCTTCTGTCAGCCTAGCCAATGGCAGTTGTGGGTCCAGGAATAGCTTAATTACCACAAAGTGTGGAGTAAAGAAATAATGAGTACAGTGCAGTGCTTTGAAAAGATTTGTTAAGGCAATGCAGTTCATTAAATCAATCATCTAAATTAGACACTCATTCTTACAGGATGTTGTGGTGTCATGTGAAACAGAGGTGTACACCTGCAGACAAGAGAGGAGCTCTTCCAAACCCTACCTGCCTGGTTCGTGGTGATGTTGACCACAGAGAACTGCAGCGGCTCATTGCTCAGGTGGCTCACTGCATTGGAGGACACGATGCGAAAAGAGTAGTTGCTGTGAGCCGCAAGGTTGAGCACAGTGACCCAGGGCTCGGTGAGTCCTGTCTGCCGAGGGATGAAGCGCACAACAGCTGTCCCTGAGCGCTCCACCTTCCCCCCAGCTGCCCCCAGACCGGCCGCAGCTCCACCGGGCTTCCCTCCTGCACCTCCTCCTGCCCCACCTGGAGAGGACGCACAGTCCTCACAGGGACTCTCTCCAGAGCACCTCAGACACTGCACACTGTACTGCAGGTCAGAGCGCCCCCCAGTGTCCAGAGGCCTGTCCCACTCCAGGTTGACAGAGGTGCCATTGACAGAGGAGATGGGGTTGACTGGTGCAGATGGGGGGCCTGGACACAACCACATGGGACATGTTTCAGTAAAACAAAAAACAATTGCTTATTAAATAACCTAACCTAAAACATGAACAACTGGGAAAAGTTCTCCTGATAATGTGGTTCTGACCAAGTCTAGCTAAACATCTAGAAATGGATCTTGAGTTTCAGTATAGTGCCCACAGTTTCTGACAAGTCACTGCAGCTGCATTGAAGGATGGGTCAAATGCAGAGGACAAATATCCCTTCAAGCTGATCCTTTCTTGGCATTCCTTAAGTGTAATAATAATGTATATCCATATACACATATATTTTAGATAAATTTATGGTATACTTCATAACCACAGGCAGTTTTGTTCCCAGCTGACCCATTTTCAAATCCACTGCTTTCTCTTGATCAGTGCAGTATTACCCCTTATTTTAACTCATTAGCTTGGCTGTAATTGGCTGTAATAGGCAGTCTGTAGTAGTTCATTATGCATATATAAATCCCCATATTTTGGAGTATGGAGTTCTTACGTGAGCAGGGGGCCGCAGGGGGGTCGTCCGCTGCTCTGTAGTAGTTGGAGTCACAGGGACAGGACACGGCCGCTCTGGTCTCTGAGTGACTGTGCTGAGGACACTTCCCACACAGACCGTCCCCCGCCACAGGTTTGTAGAAGCCCACCTCACACGCTGCACAAACAAGAGACAAAACAAGCCAGTTAGGGATGACAAAAACTAGTAACAAAACATATATATTTGATCAATCCTGAAAAACACACGTAGGACAAAATATTATCTTTCTTGAATAGTTTTAGAATAGTCTTGATCTCCAAGTCATTGTAAGACCACACAGTAATTTTCATATAATATTACATTAATTAATATTAATGTAAGGTAAGATAAAGTTAGGCAAACTTTATTTTTTCTTGGATATGTGGTATTTCATCATATACTAGGTGGATATATTTGCAAACTTATACTATACCTAATACTAAAACACACAAGCAAAAAAGATACATCTGGACTGTATTATTGAGAATACACAAAGGTACGATCATAATAAAAGAAAAGCAATATCACTGCTGATCACTGCTACTGACCCACTACAAGGTCCTGTTTACAAATCATATTGAGGATGGGATAGAGGAATCTTAAAATGTATTATACCTACACATACAGCCAAAATGTGACCTGACGGGAGCATCTCATATTCTGCACATGTACAGGGTTGTTTGCAATTTTCTGAGCCTCTGAAACTCTTTATAAAAGGAATACAGGGGCTGGGCCTAATAGCATTCTTTGATCACACTTATAGCCTTTCGTGCTTTCTTACAAAATTTAAAAAAAGCAGTGATTTGTGATTAAAGTTATATTCTATTGTCTAAGAAGGAGTGTTTTATTTATTCTGATTATTGTATTAAACTCAAACAACTCAAAGTCATCCACAGAATATTTAAGATTTCATTTAGACTTAGACAAACACAAGGGAAATTATTGACTCAGGAGCTCTCACATCACAATATATTATAATAACCAAGAGCAACAATATAAATGGTAATAATACATTCTAAATAAGCATCAAATACAGTATACAAAGAGACTGGTGTCAAATAAGGCAAACAACATAAATGGATATACACAAAAAATATAAATGTAAATATAGAAATATAGCAATACGACTATATCTCAGCCACGTACAAAAGATTGTAAGGAAAAACAGTGCAAAGATGAAATAATGAATGACAGGACAGAGGGTTATTTTATTTATAAATATGAAAAAAAGCCACAAGCCTTTAATTTAACTCTGAGTTTTTTGTTGTTTGAGGCGAGAGAGTGAACTTGAACATCTTGCTTGATAAATTCATAATCCAGCAGTTCAACTTAAGAAAAAGATTAAACTATTACACGCACTAATAGGTGACAAAGATTCAAAGATTCAAAAATGTAATGTCATGTACGCAGTAAAACATCGTATTCAATGAAATGCGCTCTTGCCTACCTTGGCCGTTATTATATCACAGTTTCAATATACGTATAATACTGTTTGCTGACACACTTGGTCTGAGTATAAATTCCAAGATAAGTCACAATTATAATAGGTCAATTTGCTGTGCTGATAAAAACTGCAGAGACCATCCTATTGAAACATTCACACATCTATTTAACCTGAAATCTCCTCAGTGTGTCCGCATTGACAATTCTCTTTCAAGTTCCTTTAGCGCATTTCCATCTCTGAGGCCCGCACCATTTGAACAAGTAAAGGTTATGGAAACACAACGCACTCTGGCATAAATTACTCAAAGCAAAGACCAAACATGACTTTCTCTACTGCTTTCCGAACGTATGCCCCATTTACAGTCCAGAAGTCTATCGGAAAACGGAATATATTTATCTGCAGTCCCTCCATTATTAATCAGTGCAGAGTTAAAAGTGAATCGGGATCAGAGGGTCTGGGTACTGGGGTGCTCTCAGGGAGTATCAACAGTGCACCAGATTTTTAGACCAAATCGGAAAAAAGCAAGTCCAACTTTCATCTGCGCCTGGTCTCCATGGTCACCGCGACAGTAATTATATATCAGTTTGGAAAGGTCTGACGGGAAAGGATCCATGTTCTGAAATGAGTGGTGTGATGTGACAGTAAGTTTAATTGAACTTTGCTAGCAATGAAAGTTCATTTGACTTTGATATTTTAACAGCAGGTTAATATTCATTGTTTTTGTTCATTAAATCTTTTGAACACAGTCACTTGTTTGTTGATTTATACAGCAGCATGTCTACCTTTAACTCATTTTTGGTTGTGTCTGCATGATTTCTTTGACATAGATTTAAAAAGTATTTATTTAAAGTTGATGGATGGTCCAGGATCACTGAGAAGCTCAACTTTTTTGGCTTGCATTACTTTCATTGGATATAGTAGTCGAAGCATACTCTTGTGAGACTTCAGTTTCAGTTTTCACCGACTTCCTATCTTTGCCCGCCTCTCTCATCTACTTGTGATTATTTAAAAGCTGCATATATACTTAAAAATAATAATAATTCAAATTGGGACATGCATGTAGGGTTAAAAAAAATCTAACGGATACATTTTTCAACAATAAAAAGATACATGGAAATCTGTTCCTTGCACAGTGTTGGGGAGTAACAGATTACATGTACCGGCATTATGTAATCAGAGTACAAATTATGAGTAACTGTATTCAGTTACAGTTACTGTTTCAGTGAGTGGTAATTGGATTACAGTTACTTGGTTGAAATAAATGGATTACACAAAGGCATTTTCCTGTTTTCACATTTTGGGCTATATCCCTTTTTTTTTTTTTTTTTTTTTTTTTAAAAGTAATTCCACTCATTGCTGGACACTAAACCAGGTCTAAACCAGGTCTAAAACCAGGTCTAAAACCAGGTCTAAACTAGGTCTAAACTAGGACTAAAACCAGGTCTAAACCAGGTCTAAACCAGGTTTAAAACCAGGTCTAAACTAGGTCTAAACTGGGACTAAACCAGAACTAAAACCAGGTCTAAACCAGGTCTAAACCAGGTCAAAAAACAGGTCTAAACTAGGTCTAAACTGGGACTAAACCAGGACTAAAACCAGGTCTAAACCAGGTCTAAAACCAGGTCTAAACCAGGACTAAACCAAGACTAAACCAGGACTAAACCGAGACTAAACCAGGAGTAAAACCAGGTCTAAACTATGTCTCAAACAGGATTTAACAGGACTAAATCATGCTGGGCAGACCTTGTCTCCTCCTCTTCTATCAATAATATTTTTTATTTGGTTAAGTAAATTTCTGGGCTTTTTATTTTCTTTTATCAGACAAAACATCTTATGTTACGATATCCTAGTCTTTGCTTTTCTACAGCAAATCAAGTAATCCAAAGTATTCAGATTACGTTACTCACTTTAAGTAATTTAATGGATTACGTTACAAACTACATTTTGGTGTGTGTAATCTGTAATCTGTAGGGGAATATATTTTAAAAGTCACCTTCCCAACACTGTCCTTGCAACAGTGAAATACAACTATGGGAAGGCAGGCCACATACGAGTCTATGGATCTCTGTTTATTATTATTAAGCTATTTTAGAGCAATATTAGTAACATTAACAAATAATGAAGTAGGTATGTTTTACTTAATACCAAATTCCAGAAAAAAAACATATCTTCTTCCATCTTAAATTATGAAAGAGTATTGCCTTTTCTATTCTCCAAGACAATTTTGAACCCATTATTCAAAATTGTCCGGTGTTTCTTGATTTGCATTGTGTCGCCTAGTTAGCAGTGACAAAAGAGCGTTTGTGGAAATGTGCAAACTGTCAGTCCACGCCCACAACATATTCAGCCCACAGAACTCAACAACCAAAACTACAGGCCATTAGCTAATTATTCAACCACACACAAGAGAGATCCATCCAGCAGACAGATATTTAGTAAAATTAGGAACATAATGTAGGGCCGTATCGCAATTGTTGTCCTGGAGATGTGCAAAATTAGATTATAGATATTGAGTTTATTGCCTATAATTACAACAATTAAAAAGCACAACAAAAAGAGCTGAGAATAAAAAAGAGAATAAAATGAAGAGAAAGGTCTAGGGCAATCTTCTAAACAAATATACAAAGCGAAATCTCTGCTGTAATTTTATGCTCAGTTCAGGTTTTCACTGTTAAAATCATCTGAATATTCCTATTCAGATAATGCAAAAATATATTATTATTGATTTATTTTTATATTTTTTTTAAATTGTGGGTCCAAAGTTGGGAGTTGACTTAACCGCAGTGGTCCCTCTTTTACGATGTGTTATGTGTTTTTAGAACATATGTAAACAAAAGTTGAATCTGATGAAGTTGTAGTCTATAAATAGTTTAAAGACAGTCAACTCATGTGGTTTAACAAAATCTCAATACATTTTCTTCACGCTAAAATAAAACAGATCCAACATATATTTCCAATATTTAAATATAAAATCCTGTACATTTTGTTGCATGATTATGAATTATACAGGACAATGTCTGCATTTTTATTTTTTGGACCACATTCTATGATAGAAATTTAGCTAAAGATCCCATTAACACCACAGACACGACGGGGTTTGTAGTCCACACCAATCAATTCACTTGACAATTCACTTCATCTACAGGGAAACAAGGCCACGGGCTGATCTGCATTAAACGCTGCAAAATTTGAGCTGGAGAATTACATTTAGAGAGGTGCAAAGTCAAACACACACCTGCGCTGCTGCTGACAGTCAGGAGTTATGGCTGATGCACTACCACGGTCACGTAGGAGTTTAATGTAAACAAATGCTGTAGAATGACTAAACTTTAGCAAATGGGAGTTACAGACGTAATGGTGCGTGCATCCCCGAGACTTCATACAGTTAGGAGAAGAGTATACTGATAGAGGTGCCTGGTAACACGTTTTGTTTCTATAAACTTAAAAAGAAAAAAAATACAATTATGATGATGATGTAATTAATTTATATTTATATATTTATTTAGTTTATGCCAAAATATACTATTAAATATAAACAAGATCTTTCTAATTGTCATACCTACAATTATATAAAAATGTGTATGAATAATAAATAAAAGTTAAGCAGTCCAAGCCAAGACAAAAGTGTCAAACATTGCAAAGGAAGATTTTCAACAACCTCAAATTTGTGTTTATTTGTTCATTATTTAATAGT